CCAGCTAATTTTTTGATTTATTGTAGAGATGAGGTCTCGCCTGCCCAGGCAGGTCTCGAACCCACGGGCTCAGGCAATCCACTCATCTCAGCCTCCCAAAGGCGCGGGATTACAGCCTGAGCCACCGAGCCCGGCTAGGGGTATTTTTTAAAATAAAAAAAAATTAGGGGCAGCCATGCTTTTCTTTAAGCTCTGGCCCCTCCCCAGTCTGGGGGAAGTACATCTCCCCTTCACTTTCTCTTCAATCTACTTTCTAAATAAACTATTTTTCCTAATCTAAACAAAACAAAAAAAAATGGGCAAGTGTTGAAGACTTGCAGAAATACACATGAGATGAATAGCAACCGCCTATGTTTTATTTTTATTTATTAATTTTTGAGTTGGAGTCTCACTCCATCGCCCAGGCTGGAATGCAGTGGCATACTCATGGCCACCCCAGCATTGACTTACTGGGCTCCAGAGATCCTTCTCTCAGCTTTCCAAGTGGCCGAAACTACAGGTGCATGCTACCACACCTGGCTAATTGCTGATTTATTATGGAGACGAGGTCTCGCCAAGTAGCCTGGGCTGGTCTCGAACCTGTGGGCTCAGACAATCCACTCCCCTTGGCCTCCAAGCGCTGGGATTACAGGCTGAGCCACCAAGCCCAACCCCACCGATGTTTTTAGACAATGAATTGAAGTATATAAAACTCCTGGACAACACAAGACACCAGGAGATACCATCAAGTGTCACACAGAGAAAGAGAAAAGTGTTACCGAAGAAACGCACATCGTGCAGCCTCCTTACTGTGCCCAGAAGCAAGAGGTGGCAGGTTGATGCAGTTACTGGGAGAACAGTGGCTAAGGGCCACCCCAAGCCCAGCCTTCCCTGCTCCTGGGGGACACCCTCATTGCACCCCCCAACTCTGTAAGAAATAAAATTTAAAAAGAAAAGCAAAAGCCCCACAACCCTATAATAAATACATAAATTAAAAAAAAAAAAAAAAGAAAACCAGAAGTTGCCTAGACCCTGCCGGGATGGAACACACTGAAGATGCCCAGCCAGAGTCAGACAGGCAGGAACCGCCTGACACGGGCTCACACAGGAGCTCACACAGGGCACGTGGCAAGGGCCCAGCAGAGGCTGAGCACCTCCCAGCTCCAGCCCAACGGCTCCAAGGGGCAGCATCAGCAGCATCGTCACAGCCTTCTCCAGATACTCGGAGGCTGGGAGGAGGCCCCAGTGGGTGAGCCCAGAGGGCGCTGGAGGCAGCCCGGCCGTCCGTACCCCAGCCTTCTAGTCTCTCTCTAATAACTCATCCGCTCAGCCACCCGTGAGCACTTCTCCCAGCCCCTTGTCTAGGTCAGGCCCATACTCCGGACAGAGGGTAGAGAGAATAGAGACTTGGCCTCTGTCCTCAGGAAGGCTCCAGTCGCTGAGGCAGGTGCTAATCGTTTGTTCACTCAACAAACCCGTTTGGAGCGCCAGCACTGTGTCTACAGGGAAACAGTGAGAGGTCTCCAACCTCCACGGCGCTCATGTCCTAGTGCTGGTCCCAGACAGCAAACAATCAGCCAATGGAGAGAGTAAGCGCCGGACCGTGATAGGGAGAGCACTGCAAGACACTGGGGAGGACCAGCAGGGCCACAGGCCGGGACGGGCGTTCAGAGAGGAGGGCACCACCAGCAGGGGCGGGGGCCTCGCCACCCGACAGGCCTTGTCATCAGGGCCATGTTTCCACTCTAAAACCAGGATCACGAGAGAAGTGGGAGGTTAGTTCGGCAAGTCACAAGCAGGGTTTCAGAAAGATGAAATGGAGCAGATGACATCACAGTGCATCCTAGGAAGCAGTGTGGATTTGTGGCATGTGGGCATGGCACTGAGGCACCTGGGCTCCCCTCCCCTCCAGCCTCCCATAGTGACAGGGAAGACCTGAGGGAGGCGGAGCGCCAGGATGCTCTGCACTTGCAGACTGGAGGATGGGTTTTTATTTTTCCAATGGCAGCCTGGGATCTGGAAAGAGACCCAGGACACCAGAGGCCAGCGGCTAGGAGGTGCTGAAGAGCGGGAGGTGAGAGAAAGAGATGCCTCCTCTCCCATCTTTCCAATTACAGGTAAAAGAGGGTCCCCTTTAACAGACACGCTCATCCTGAGCCTCAGGGCCACAGCGTGCACCTGCTCGCTTTACGAATGCCTCTGGCTAATTCCCAAAACTGAGCTCTAAAGACGAACCCCACCACAGAGACAGAGCTGAAGACAACACGTTCTCACTCAGGAGTGGGCCCTGAACATTCATTACAAAAGCACGAAGGAGGGATTGGCGGTCACGGGACATGTGAGGGTCACACAGGGTGCTTGGCCCTAAACAGGGGATGAGGCCCGATTAGAGGCCCAAACTTCACTGCGCGTGGACACTTGTGTAGCCCATCTCGACTTGCACCCACATCTCTGTAATAAAAGTTATAATAAAACAAATACAGACAGACTCTTGCACATACACCATCCCGCCGCCTCAACTGTCTCCTTCTGCCCTCTCTCTGCCAGTCATGTTTATATCACCACCCAAACCATTGACTAGTCGGTTACAAAGAAATGATGAATGTGCAATTCACATTCTGCAGCTTGAGTAAAAGACAATTCTGAGTTGCACCTTCCTCCCACCAAGCACTGATATGCGCATATCGCAAAAGCGACCTCCACCCCCAGCTGTAAAAAGTTTTTTACAAAGGCCAGGTGCGGAGACTCACGCCTGTCATCCCAACACTGAGAGAGGTAGAGGTGAGAGGATTTCTTGAGCCCAGGGGTTCAAGACCAGCCTGGGCAACACCGTGAGACCTTGTCTCTACAACAAATTCTTTAAAAATTAGCCAGGCGTGGTAGCGTTGGCCTGTAGTTCCAGCTACTTGGTAGGCTGAGGTGGAAGGATCGCCTGAGCCCAGCAGTTCGAGGCTGCGGTGGCTGGGAGCGTGCCACCGTACTATAGGCTGGGCAAGAGTGAGACACTGACTCAAAAAAAAAAAAAAAGTATTAAAAAGAAAAAAACAGATAAGGTCGCCCGTGGCACAGAGGCTGGAAGGCCGGTTAAAATTGACCACAAAGCAGCCGGGAACGGTGGCTCAAGCCTACAGGCCCAGCGTTTTAGGGGGCCCAGGCGAGAGGATCGCTCGAGCCCAGGAGTTCGAGATCAGCTTGGGCAACAGAGCGAGACGCCGTCTCTAAAAAGAAATAACGATAACAATACTAATAATAACATCCACAAAGTCCTTAAAGCAAAAACGGCAAGCACCACCAGGAAATGCCAGGAACAGGGACGAGCTTGGAGTCGTCCTCTTACGGCTTATCTTTCTATCAATCGCCCTTTGGGAAGCCCCTTGGTGCGCCACGTTTCATTCATTCAAGCGTTTCATCCATTCATTCCCGTTCTCGGCCAAGGCCCGGATGTGAAGCCCCGAGCCATCCCCCGGCCGAGACCCCTCCCCTCGCGACAGGCGGGGCCGGCACGTG